TCCCAAGCCAGCCAGCCAAAACACCGTGAATTCCTTAGGGAGGTGCCAGTCTCATCTTCTTAGCTGTTGGGGGCTAAGGAAATGCTTATCTCCCCGAGCGCGGCCTTCATCAAACCATTCCATCACATATTATACAATAATACTGTTCTGGCTTAGGTACAAATTCGACTTAAGGACAGATCTTGGGAATGGAACTTGTTCTTAAACTGGAGACTACTGTACCGCTTTGTTCCTATGACTTAGCCCTAGCTGGTTTTGGAGTTTCCTGCTTGGAGTTGCCAAGGCCTCTCTCTCTTCCACAGCCTGTTCTCCTTCCCTTGTGTACCAGCTGTTTTCCCCTGCCTAGATTACCCTGTTGTTGTTTTTGGTTGAAGCTCCAGCAGCTGGGGCTGGCACCGTGGCTGGAATGAGGATCCGCCTTCCTCCCTTCTTCCCCGGAGATGCACGGAGCTGAGAGCCCAATTCTTCGGCGGAGAGACGGTGCGGTGTGCCAAGGGTGGCTTTTCTGCAAAGTGGGCTTTGCGCAAACAATGAAAGACCACTTCCTGAGTGCTGAAGGTGCCAAAAAAGAAAAAGAAATGCTTTGTGCTCCAGAGAGTTTCTTATCAGTGAGGTTGTAAAAGAAAGTACAAAGGGTAGGGGAAAAGCAGGAAGGGGAAGGAGGAGAGGCTGAGATGGTGTGGTTTGCTCCTTAGCACCCAACTTTGGTGGCAGGGTCTAGGTAGCTTCTGGAGGTTGCCTTGAACTCCCCAGGCTCTGGGATGAGCACTGCAGGACTACTCAACCCATCAGGAGAAGCCCTAAAGGGTTGAAATAAGATCCTGAAGAGGACCCACCTCTGTAAAGAGATTGTTGGAGAACCACAAGGCTCTGGTGATCTCACTTAATCTCTCCAGGGAAGCCTGGAACTCTGTCCGAGACAACTTAGTTTCCAGGGGACATTTATGGGATAACAGTTTGGTTACGATGTGGGTTTTCCCTGGAACGCAGTTGAGTTTGTCATACACAGGAAGTGGGGAGAGAAAGAGAGGAGGGACGGGAAATGAGGCCATCCCATACCATGCCTAATGCCACATTGTTCTCAGCATGAAAAACCGAGATCCAGGAAAAAAAAGGTTAGCGTGGTTAGGCTCCAGCCCTACCGTTAGGCAAAATGGGGGGGACAAAAAGGGGGGAAGCAGCCCCCTCCCCCAGCATCCTTCCTGTGCCCCACAAGCTGAAGAATCACAGTTTGTACAAATACTTCCTTGGAGATCAAGAACTAGGAAGGTTGGGAAGCAGGAATATACCCAGTAAGAAATATTTCTGGCCCCACCCCAGTTTGGGGGGTTTCGGGGACCTGGGTGTGAGAAAAGGGAAGACCAAAAAAAAAGAAAAAAAAAGGAGACAGCTCTATGGGATTATCCTAGAAGCATCTGCTGATCTTCAAGCATTACTTTCCAGCTCGTTCTGTGCCAACGTAGCCTCTTTGCAAGGTGAACGGGGTTACTTCTACTCTCCCAATTGACAGCGGGTGATGAATTGGTGGAGCACAGGAACACGTCACACCTTGAGTTGTGCAATTTAATCATGCGCTTAGCTTGGCTTGGGGTTTCCCTTTGGAAGCTGTGATTTTCATTCCAAGAAGGGTGGGGAAGAGCCCCCCTCCCCTTTGTTCTTCCTCAACCTTGGTTACAGAACTTTCATTTCTCCTTCTCCTTCTCCTTCTCCTTCTCCTTCTCCTTCTCCTTCTCCTTCTCCTTCTCCTTCTCCTTCTCCTTCTCCTTCTCCTTCTCCTTCTCCTTCTCCTTCTCCTTCTCCTTCTCCTTCTCCTTCTCCTTCTCCTTCTCCTTCTCCTTCTCCTTCTCCTTCTCCTTCTCCTTCTCCTTCTCCTTCTCCTTCTCCTTCTCCTTCTCCTTCTCCTTCTCCTTCTCCTTCTCCTTCTCCTTCTCCTTCTCCTTCTCCTTCTCCTTCTCCTTCTCCTTCTCCTTCTCCTTCTCCTTCTCCTTCTCCTTCTCCTCCGGTTGGTCACATACTCAGCCAGATGTTTAGACTGGATTGGGTATTTTTATCCATCTATTGAGTCCTTCCCAAGGACCTGGCATAGGCAGATGTTGTTGTGATCCAAACAAGGGGAAACACACAGACACCACTTTGCCTCTCCACCCCTGCAACCTGGCTTGCTGGCTTGAAAAAGAGTTCAAAAGGTGCCTTGCCCTTTTTTCTGCACCATTCAGTTGAACTCAAGGAAGGGAACTTACCCAACTGTGAACTAAGGATATTTCTTGCTCCCAGTGGGTCCTTTGTAGATTTCCTTGGAAATTCGGGAGTTCTGCATCAGGTCACTGCATCAACTATTGGCCAATGATATACTGCTTAGCACTCATTAAATTACAGCTAGGAAGGAAGACAGCGTAACGTTCAAGGAAACTCTGTGATTTGCTTGGCTGAGCAGCAGGCAACCAACAGGTGCTTTTCTGCTCCAACAAGTCCTAAATAATACTTATCCAAAATGCCTGACTGTTTACTAAAAGGTTATTGCAAGGTCTCACGAGGAGTAGAAGACTCTCTGGATATTAAGCAAAGAACCGCAACTTGATCTGGATGTTATTCATTCTCTCGAATCAAAGTCTGCCCGGGCAGGGGAAATAGACAGTGCTTTTTGAAATATGCATTTTTATGGAAATGAATTCTCCCGCAGATTGAGTAGAAAGTATATCATCATGGAACGGCCCTGAGGACTAGACGCTTGATCTCACTCAAGAGATGGTATTGCTCCTTACTAGGCACTTTCACAACACAGTGCAATTTGGTTCATAACTACTCCTTGGATTTTTCTTTTTTTATGTATACTTATTAAGAACATTACATAAAATAAAAGAGAAGTCGAAAGACAAAGAAAAAAAGAAAAGAAACTAAAGTTATGAAATATGATTTCCAACCTTCTCTTCAACAGATAATCACGTTTTATAATCATACAAGTCCCTTTAGCCCCTCACTTAATCCACATCTTTTTAAATCTCCGAACCCATAAATCATCGTATCATTTTCTTCTTCTTTCAGCAAAAAGTCCATAGAAGGTTTCCAGTTTTTCAGAAAAGGTTTTGTTGTTGTTTTTTCTCTGATCAAACAGGTCAGCTTTGCCATCTCAGCAAATTCGGACATTTTTCACAAAACTCACAATGGGACTTTCTGGGTTTGCCTTTCCATGGAAAAGCCCTGCAAAATTAAGTGGCCTTTTCTGTGGAATGTTACCTTGCCAAAGATGATTAGAAAGCTGATTCCTGCAAATGTGCACAAATTAAAATGGAATTCCTCTCTCCCTCCCTCTCCCTTTTTCATATCACCTCCAAAAGTCACCAAAATCAATCCATCCATCCATCCGAACCCTCCATGTACCCCAAAGGCACAGGCCACACTATAAGCACATTCCTTGCATTCAATATTTTCTGTGCAATCAACTCGGAAGGAAACTTGGAATAAAAGATGGCAGAGGAGCAGCTAACCGGGGAAATAGCAAAGAGAAGAAAAGTCCCTTCCCCCTCCCATGGTCTTGCTATTAAATTATACACTCCATTGGAAAACAGAACAACACAAACACCAATTTCATAAATCTCTTTTCCTACCTTGGCGGGTCTATTGAAACTCTGATTTATATCCTTTTCTTCAATCCCACCACGATGTTCTAGATGTACGTGCAGACTTCTCTGCAGAACAGCTTTGAAGTCAAGAACAAAAAAGACCCCCAAATTCACCCTTAGATATCATGCATCACATCGGATTCCACCTTCCACGATTCACTGGACGTACCCGTAGTAAGTCCCCTTACTAAGTCCCACCGATTCTCCAGCTGGTTCCATGCTGCCTAACGGGGTTTACAAAAGCTCAGGACAGAGAGGCAGAAGTTTGAACTTGGACATTTTGACCTAAACTATGGGCCATCGGTTAAAGAATAACTATTCCCTAACTGAAATTACCATACACAGTGATGTCAATGTGGGGTCCTTGGTGCTCTCTGAGTTTGGTGATTTGTTTAAAGACATTTCATTACCCAACACATCATTATCCTTCCTCTGAAAATATTAAAGGCACGTTATCTGGTAAGAGCCAAGCTAGGCTGGAATACGGAGCGGATCCTCACTGATCTTGGACGAACACAAGCAGGATCAAAGAAAACCTTTAGGAAATGTCAGGACGGTAAGCTAGACCAAGAAGTTGGAAAAACAAAAAAAAATCTCAGAAATCCACTTGAACCTTATCTGACCAAAGAGCAAAATTAGTCATTTCCTCTGGTTTCCAGAAATTTATGAGCAGGTTTCTCCATATTTTGAAATGGAACTTGTGTTTTTTTTTTCACACCCAAAATTGCACATCAGGAAGGAGGAGAAATTAAGGCAACACCCTTATACACATTTATCTGGGAATAAGTCTCAACTGATCCACCAAGACTTGAGTATGCCCTTCTATTTTACTTTCCTAATCTTCCAACTGAATCCTGATTACAAAGGGAATAGAAACTCGTATACAAACCCATGATTGTTTGCTTTTAAATTTGCTTATTTCAAAGCAAATAGAAGTGAATGGTAAGTTAGTAATTGAAAACTAAGAGAACCAAGTCCACTCTCTAGAACTATATTTAGAAGAGGCAAATTTATAAGTAACTCACCCACAAATATCCTACCTATTTGGGGCAAAATATTAATTTTGTTTAAACTTCAGTGCTAGGCATTAAGCAGATACTTGCCTTCAAATGTCCTAAACATTCAGGGCAAAATATTAGCTTTCAATACTCAGTGATGAGCAGAATAAAGTTCCAAATTATGAACTTGGGTTCTCGGTGTTCAAATAAAGCTTGTTTAAATATTGGCTTATATTTAAATCTGCCCCTTCCTCTAGCCGCAATTCCAATAAAATCATTGGGGTTTACTTTGGAGTGAGCACACACCGGATTTGTGTAACTCAGCTGCACTTAGCTCCAACTGAAATGTGTGAGTACCAAAACAGTACAGGACCTAGGTTTCTGACCCAATCTGGATTTAACCCACTTCCTTAAAAGCCAACAATATGAGCTTTTGCCTAACTGACAAACTTCCCTTCACTGAGCATAAAGAGATTCAAACGCTCACCTGGAAATGGCCTCAAACCCCTGATTCACACACCTTGACAATTCTGCACAGGCACACAGGAAAGCCGTGCTAAGCAACGGCTAACCATCTAGGAGGAACTGGACCCACATTAGCTATCCCAGAATGGCAGGTTTCCAAAACTTTACTGGGTTGCCTTTTTAGAGAGAGGAGAAGGAGAAGGAGAAGGAGAAGGAGAAGGAGAAAGAGAAAGAGAAGGAGGAGAAGGAGAAGGAAAAAAATGCAGCAGGAGATTTCTCTTCTGATCCAGGGGTTGCTTGGCAGGACGCCGAGGGCAGCTTTGACAGACGTTCTAATGATTTAAACCTAACGATGCTGTTATAAAAACTAGCAAAAAGGTATTTCTGAGGTGTTGGACTCTAACTCTAACTCTAATTTCTGAGGTGTTGGACTCTAACTCTAACTCTAACCCTAACTCTGGCTGGGGAGAATGGGAGCTGTAGTGCAATGGATCTAGAGGGACCCAGGCTACCTTGGAAAATAAAATATATCCTATTGTAACTAGCTCCTGATCAAGAACTCCCTCCCTCCCTCCCTCCCTTCCCTCCTCTTTAGCAGAGGCTCCTTCCTTCCTTCCTTCCTTCCTTCCTTCCTTCCTTCCTTCCTTCCTTCCT